ACACCTACGTTGGGAGTTATAGTTGAAAATGTTATAAACTTAGTCGAAAAAAGGGGTTCGGGGTGGGAAAATGCAAAACAAGCCCCGAACCATTGTTTTTTTGTAACGGGAAGCTTCCCTGTGACAAATGTGTCATGCACGGACAGACGGTACGTAAGTAGTACACGTACGTTGGGATTTAGCATTGAAAATGTCATAAACTTAGTCGAAAAAAGGGTTCGGGAGGCGAAAATGCAAAACAGCCCCCGAGCCACTGTTTTTTCGTAACAGGAAGCTTCCCGATGATAAATGTGACATGTAAGGACAGACGGTACATAAGTAGGACAAGTACGTTGGGAGTTAGAGTTGAAAATGTCATAAACTTAGTCGAAAAAAGGGATTTGGGGGGCACCATTTTGCAAGAACTAAATGTGACAAAGGATATATCCCGTTGACCTAATCGGTTGGAAATTCGAATAATGGATTTGTAAAGTTCAGCAAAGGTTTAGGCGCAATTGTGTATTTGATCAGTTTAACTATCACCACTACAAAATGTGCAACAACAGTTGAATAGTACACAGTTCATATATATAACATGGCCTCAAGATTTGGCTGATGAGAGGATAATTCCTCAGCAACAGATCAGGGAACTTAGGACTAAAGAAGCTAAGTATTGAAGATATCTATCAAAATTAGATGGTGTTATGGAAGAATAGTTAAGCATAATCTTTTTCAGCTCTTGTCTCCATAAGCCTGTAAAGAACCCAAGGCATTACTCATTCACAAATAGAAGTATATCTACATCTATAAACCCACTAATTAGTTAAATAGAAATGAACAGTATTATGATTTCATTACATTGTTGACTTAATTTCTTCTTTAAGGAAAGCGTTTCCAAACTTTCTATGATTATATCGAATAAATTAGAATATTTTATGAAGAAAAAGTACACACCAATTTCCATCCATGGAGGTCAGAAAAGCACTGTTTTAACATAACTAGAAGCTTCATGGAGGTCACAAAAGCATAAGCATAGTGAGTTTTATGGATACCAGACAAACTCTAATGATGGGTCCTCTTACATTTTTATAACAAATAATTTTTGGATGAAATGGCAAGTACACCCATAATTTCTGTAATTTGGTAATACCCACACAGTTTAGTTTCACATTTAATTACTAAAATTTACTTAGATAGATTTAGAGCTTAAAAAGCTAAAACAAGAACTCATGATGGGTCCATGTTTGGATGTCTTTCATTAGTTAATAAATATTACTCTCCTATACATATAATGTTTGAAATTATTACAATATATATATGTAGTCCAAAAGTGCCTCTACATGCACCAAACTAATTATTTTTTTCCCCTTTTTTGCAGATGTTTTTGGCATACAAATGACATTGTGTTTTTGTTGACAAGTACGGGAGGGCATTGTTTTTATATCTCTATCCGTATATCTAGTGGTTTGTACAAATTAATTTTTTGGTGTGGTAAATATCATCTAATTTGGCATGGTAGAAATGAACATAGCACGTGGTACAAAATAATTTTGAGGCAGTACAGAATATAATTTTTGTTGTGGTACAGAAGTTGTGGGTGTACAATTAATTTGGTTACTCCTGTATTATGTATGAAATTAAATTATTGACATTGGATTAGACTTGGTTCTTATGGAATTTGTAATATATATATAATTGGACGTTCAATATTAATTTTTTGGATGGTTGGAACTGAAATATGTGCACGTTGTTGAATGCTTGATAACATATTTAGCGTTGATGGATTATATTGTTCATACAGGGTATAGATTGTATTAATAATGGATACAGGTTGTTCAAAAAATTTTATTTAAAAAAAAAAAAAACACGTTAAAGTATTTGGCCACCAAATATTTTGGTAGCTAAATACGTAATCAAATGTTTTGGTGACTAAGAATTTAGTAGCAAAAACATAACCCACTAATTTTTTTGCGACCAAATAATTAGTAGCTAAAACAATTGAGAATGAGAGAAAGAAACTATTGGCCACTAAATTTTTTAGTCATAGAAAAAAAATGGTATCATTTGGTGACTAAAACGTTTGGTGGCAAAAAGTGAAGAAGGGAATGTTAAGAGGCTTTTGGCTACGAAACTTTTAGTGGGCAAAAGTAACAACGACAAAAATTAATTAGTCGCTAAAAATATGTATTCTATTGGTGACCAAAATGTTTGAAAAGCGATGTCTTTCTTGCTTCTCAAGAATTCCTGTTTTCCATGAAAATAAAATTTTCTTTGAATTCTGATTAAATTCTTTTGAATTTGAACACAACCCTTTTTAGGATTGAAATTCTCTTGAAAAAAAAAATTAAATTGAATTAAGGATTAATTACCTAAAAGTCCTATTTACATATTTGGTAGTAGTTCAATGTATAAAAATAGGGAATTTTCCCAACTTGAATTGAAATTCAAATGGGATGAGAATGTGACTTGTCTTGTTGTCAGCTCATGTAGTGATATGACTTTCATACGTTTATGTAATTTGATAATATTCCACTTGATCACCCTTGGGCACACTTGGCTAACTTCAGGGTGGATGATCAGTGTGTGCTCACACAATCAATACTACAAACCAAATGTAAAGAATTTTTGTCATTTGAATAAGAAATAATACTTTCTGTTATTAACAACAAACTAATAAATTAGAGTAAAGATGTGCCTACTAAGAAAGCCATAACACATTCTGTGACTTTTGCTGGATTTTTGTGGTATTTTTCAATTGAAGATATCAGGGTGTTCTTTATTGCTTCTGCCCAATTGTATTTTCTCATTGATTTTATGTCTTCCATATAATTAAGAAATACCCATCCAACTGTCGTTCCTGATGTAGAGAAAAAGAAAAAGCTTCAAACAAGTATACATGCACACCATCCTAATTAAATCTTCAGTGTCTTCTTTCTTATTGCCTTTCAATGTTTTTTGCAACAAGTCCATGATGGTTGTGTTCGATAGTCTTTCAGTTTGTATGGATCTTCTTGTCAGAAATGATGATATAATTTTATTTTCATAACCAAGATTCATCGGCTTATCTCTACAAGATATACCAAAAATAGACTTGATGTCTTCTGTTGTTAGCTATACAGTTTCCGGTCCTAACTGGAACGAACCACTGCTGCCTGATTGGTATGTTTGAATTATTTTGAATGCAATATCATCATATTTTCTACATTGTTTATAATTCAACATATTCTTCAATATTGCATCAAAAAATGACCAGAACGGGGTTTTCTTTAACCCTTTAATATGCTCGTTTCTAAGTTTGATGTGTTGTAACAGCTTTACTATTGTCACCATGTTTGATCTGAAAGTTACTTTCCATTCTTTATGCTTTTCCTTTAACTTTTCTCTCTCAAAGTTGACCCTTTATGCCTTCTTATTGTTTTCCTTGCATTGCTCTTTAGTCTTGGTGTTTCCATGAGTTGATTTCCCGTACGGAAAATCGACATAGAAGACATATTAACACTGAGAATGTTCCTAAAAGAATCACTCCAATGTCATTCTCATGAAGTCTAAATTTGATAACATTCATGGCAATAAAAACAAAATCAACATTGAAACTGAAATCAAAAGCAAGAGAATATCGTTAACTAGGGATTTTGACTTAAATTCATTCAGAATTTGAGAACATTCACAACAATCGTACCAAAATCAACAATGAAACCTAAATCAAAAGGAAGAGAACATGAATAACTAGAGTTTTTCAGTCAGATTGATTCAACATTTAAGACATTCAAAGCAATCGTGTCAAACTCAACATTGAAACCTAAGTTGAAATCAAGAGAATATGATTAAGTCGGGGTTTTCACTCAAATTGACTCAGAATCTGAGAACATTCACAACAATGGTACCAAAATCAATACTGAAATGTATATTAAAAGAAATAGAATGTGATTAACTAGGGTTTTTCACTCAAATTGATTCGAAATCTGAGAACATTCACAGCAATGGTACCAAAATCAATAATGAAACCTAAATCGAAAGCATGAAAACATGATTAACTAGGGTTTTCTCCTCAAATTGATTCAGAACCTGAGAACATTCACAGCAATGGTACCAAAATCAACAATGAAACATAAATCGAAAGCATGAGAATATGATTTTCTAGGTTTTTTCACTCAAATTGATTTAGAATCTGAGAAGATTCATAGTAATCGTACCAAATTCAATAATGAAACCTAAATTGAAAGCATAAGAACATGATTTAGTGGGGTTTTTCACTCAAATTGATTTAGAATCAGAGAACATTCACAAAAATGGTACCAAAATTAACCATGAAACCTAAATCGAAAGTATGAGAACATGATTAACTAGGGTTTTTCAGTCAAATTTATTCAAAATTTGAGAACATTCACAGCAACGGTACCAAAATCAACAATAAAACGTAAATCGAAAGCATGAGAACATGATTAACTAGGGTTTTTGACTCAAATTCATTCAGAATCTGAGAACATTCACAGTAATGGTACCAAACTCAATATTGAAATCTAAATTAGGAGTAAGAGAACATGATTAATTAGGGTTTTTCACTCAAATTGACTTGAAATATGAGAACATTCACATCAATGATACCAAAATTAACAATGAAACCTAAATTGCAAACATGAGAACATGGTTAACTAAGGGCTTTTCACTCAAATTGATTCAGAATCTGAGAGCATTCACAATAATGGTACCAAAATCAACCTTCAAACTAAAATCTAAAGGAAGATAACGTTATTAACTATGATTTTTGACTCAAATCGACTTGAAATCTTAAAACATTTATAACAACAGTAACAAACTCAGCATTCAAACTGAAATGGCAATTAAAAAAAAAAAGTTTCGAAATGGAAGATTTCGTAGAAACTAGGGTTTAAGATATTCTGAATCTTACTTGTTTTCACCATTTTGGAACTCAACATTCAAACTAAAATGGAAATCAAAAACAAAAGTTTTGAAAATGGAAGATTTCGCAGAAATTAGTGTTTAGGGTATTTGAATCTTACTTGTTTTCACCATTTTGGTTGTTCGAATCTGAAAATCTTTGATGATCTAGTTTGTTGTTTTGGAATCTGAGCCGAGTTTGATGAAGTAAGACGAAATGTGAGGCGATATGAAGGTGAGATTGAAATCTGTAAAGGATGTGAAATGGCACGAATGAACTGTGATGAATGAAAAGTTGTGATTTTATTTTGTGTTTTTGATTTGTTATAGGTAGTTTTGTCATTTAAACTTGTTATGAGACTTACAGGTAAAAAGTTTTTTTAAGTAGGACTTAATGGACTATTATTTACTGAAACAGGACCTACCTGTAAATCTCCCTTGAATTAAATTAAATTCAAAATTTGATAGGTTGTTTAGAGTATATTCAACGACAAGGACATACGGTGTTGTATGAAAAGGAAACAAAACGAATCAGATTAAGTTGAAACCAATAGTATTAATGGGGTTTGTACACAAGAGAAAACAAACGCAGCTCACACATTTAAAAAGCATACAATCTCAAACCATTCATCTGAAAAGAGACCTAACAACACAATCAAAACACTGAATATTAGAAGCCCAGAATTCTAATGCATCAAACAATCCAATTAATCAATAGAATAAAAATAAAAATTTAATTATAACAAGAGAAAGAGAGATAATGGTATTATATATATATATACACACATATTTATGTATAATAAGGCAATTGGATATGTAGGAGAGAGAATCTCTCTCTCTCTCTATATATATTATGTATGTATATGTGTGTATAACAAAGGTATGATCTAAGGTTAGAGAGAGAGAGAGAGAGAGAGTTTAGCTGTGTAAGCTGGTTTTTTTTTTGTTAGAGTCGCAATTTCTGTATGTGGGGGATTGTGTGCACACCATTAACGTTAGCGAAGAAGGGGGGGAGGGAGTGGGTTTTTGACAGTAAAAATGTGGTGTTGGGGAATATGCCACGTGGAAGTGAAATTGAGGTGGCGAGCTATGGGCTTTGGTAACGTTCCCAGCTGCGGCGGCTCGCTCACATGGGTTATAACACGTGTGAGGGGGATTTAGAGCACCAAGTGTGGTGAGGAATTATTGGTCTTGTTTGATAGGGCTTATTTTCAGCTTATTTTCAGTTTTTAGCTTAATTTAAGCTATTTTGATGTTTTTGGTTTAGCTTAACAATACAGCTTATAGCTTTTTGTAAGTTAAAAATCAACTTATTCTTTGAGTGGGGGAGGAGAAACTTAATTTATAAGTAAAAAATCAGCTTATGTTCACAATTATAAACTATAAGCTGTAAGGTTATAAGTTATAATTACTTTTCCACAACTCTACCAAACGGGGCCATTTTCGAGGTGCACGTGTTGTGCTACGCTATCTTTTTAAGTTAAACATGTGGTGGGTTTGGATTTTCCCATGTTATTGGCTTCTTTTTTTGGGAATGTGAGAGTTGGAAATTTTTTTTTTTACAAATACATGGGTATAAAGTACAAATGAAATGTTATAGAGGTATAAGTGTTACTTGCATCTTTTCATGTGTTGGTAATTTTTTTCTCTAACTCCTATCTATATGTAATTCTCCCTTCATTTTTTAGTTTAAAAGTTAAAAAAAACTCATTTAAAGAAATTAACAAATTTCATAAATAAAAAAAAAAGTCAAAAATTTATTTTTTCTATACTTTTACACCTTTTTTTTTTTGTGTGTTGTGTGTGTGTAAAAAGCTAAGAAGTTATCTCAAACATACTATTCCTTTTATTTCATATTTTAATTAAAAAGGTAGGAAATTATTAAAATAACCTGTTCAATGGTGATTTTTTTTTTTATTGGTTTGAGAATTGATTTTTCTTTTAGTGATTTTGAGGTGGTTTGAGAAATGAATTTTTCTAATAATTTTATTATTTGTTAAAAAACAATATGTAAAAAATTAAAGAGAATAGATTGTCTTTTTATAATATTTTTTTAAAAAAATTAACAAAAAGTCAAATTGCCAAACCAAACTTTTACCTTCTCAACTATCACCATTTGTTTATGCCTAAACTATTAAATTTGTTTTCCTCCCCAAACTTTCAAAAAATCATGCTACTTAGTTCCCAATAGTAGATAACGTTAATTATTTAACAGAAAATGGGATTATGTGCACTGCAAATGAGCTACAAGAATGGTAAAAGGTCTAAATTAGACATTTTACATATAACTCCATTAAAAAAAAAAAAAAAAAACTTTTTCCCCCCCTTTTTTTTTTCACCCTTTTAAGAAAAATTAAATTAGCCCATTCAATCGCCTTCGCCTCCTTTTCGACAATTTCTCCCTTTTAAACCATTTCCAGATTATCCTGCTTTTTTTTTTTTTTTTCCAATGCTCTGTTCTCCCTTATTTTTTTTTTCAGACCTGTTTCTATGCATATATTTGATTCCTAGGAGGCAATACAATTCTGCTTATGAATTTGCTATTTTTTTTTTATCAGACGGATCTGCTGCTTTCAGCAGGTCAACTAGGGGTATAAATTTGGCCCGGTCCCATCCATGTTGGGCCTCGCGGGGTCTCGCCAAACTTTAGGTCAGACTGGGGGCCAGAAAATTAGCCCCAGGGATATTCGGACCTTAGGCAGGCTAGTGGGCTTGGGCTTGAGCTCAGGCTTGGACGGGCCTAAACAAATTTTTTTATTTTTTTAATTTTTTCTACCAAAATTTTATTATTTTTCACTAAAAAAGACACTGGGCCTCAACGTGAGCCTAGACTCGGGTCGAGCCTTAAGTAGGCCGATGGGTGGAGCCACGGGCCAAACCGAGCTTCAAAATGATGGCCTAGGCCTTGGCCTAGGGTTTCGAGCTGGGCTCGGGCCTAGGCCCAAACGGGCCTAAACAGGTCAAGCCCACCCTAGTGGGCCGCAAGCGAGTTTCGGGCCATCCATGGACCGTAGGCCATTTTTACACTCCTAAGGTTTACATGTTTCTGGAATAAGTACCAAAAGAATTGGGCAATGTGCTTTGCTCATACTGGAACTTTGGTTTGGTTTGGATTTGATGGGCATATATCTATCTATCTATGAAAATGGCGGGAAAGTTTCCCTCCTATTAATTTTTTTTTTTTATGGAGATATATGTAAAATGTCTAATTTAACCCTTTTACCATCGTCGTAGCTCATGTGCAGTGCACATGATCCCATTTTCTATTAAATAATTAACGTCATCTATCATTGGGGATTAAGTAGCATGGATTTTTGAAAGTTTAGGGACCAAGAAGACAAATTTAATAGTTTAGAAACTATATAAACAAAATGGTGATGGTTTAGGGAGTAAAAGTGTAATTAACCCAAAATAAAAACAAAAACAAGAAAAAGCAGAAACGGAATTGATATTAACAGTTAGCTATAAGCATGACTAATTTCAGAAGTCACATACATTTTACAGGGATATTGAGCGCGCACATACATTTTACAAGGATATTGAGCACGTAGTTTTGGTATGGTATGGTATGTATGTATCAGTGGCTGGTGGTGAGGATTGATTGCCCCTGTTTTCCTTTTTTTTTGGGAAACAACAAATGAAGTCACTATCAGGGCTGTTAATTCCGTTTTTCTTTTTCTGCAAAATTTTCCACAATGCAGAAACAACTTTCTGAGTGTTTCCCAGTAATAACTTTTTCGTTGTTTTTTTTCTTTTTCTTTTTTTAATTTTTGAAAAAAAATGCAAGTAACCAAATTAATAAGAGAAAATTACTAAAACATCTCTTCATGAATAATTTTTTTATCGTAAGAGAGGTTCAACATGTTTTTCTCTTATTTAGTTAAGGTTTCTCAATAATATTATTAGAGAAATCTTAACTCATCATAAAGAAATTCAAATTTTTCTGTGAAAAATATTGAGGGACTCTATCTACTATGAAAATATTACATATCTTTTATTATATAAAATTTTAATATTAAGAATCTTAAACTCAAAACTCCAATTAACAATTTGATGTATTTCTAGTTTTTATTTTCATTTTTCATGTTTTTTAAACAAAAAAAATGATAAATTTAAAAACATTTATAGTATTCATATCATTTTTATTTTCATATAAAAATAACTGTTTGATGTCTCCTAAAAAGTGAATTATTATTATTATTTAAATTAAACACTGTTTGAGTAAATAATTCACCAAACTATTTTTTTTTTTGTATTTTCTATAAATCAAAAAAAAAATTAAAAAAAAAACATAAATAGATAATCACAAAATGGAATTCATGAAGTGTAGAGTTGGATCATGCTACAGAGTAAAAAAATAAAAAGTTAATTACTTAAAAGTCCTATTTACAAATGTTTTGGTAGCTCATATTATATTTAAGATTTTTTGAACCAATAAGTTCTATTTAGTAAAAATAAGAATATTATCAATTTTTCTCAAATTTTAAAACTAAGAACATTATCAATTTTGCATAATATTGTTTCAGATAATTGTTTCACTAACTGATGAAACAAACAGAGAATGAGATTAAATGTTTTTACCCTTATACTTATTAATTTGGTTTAACTATCTAATAAAACTGAGAATATTATCAATTTTTTCATTTTTTTTTCAATTTTGCATATCAATATTCTATCATCATGCTCCTTTATAGACACAAAATTTTCAATTTTGCACAAAAATGTATTGAATTTTCTTTTTTTTTTTGTATTTTTGGTATTTAGTGAATTTTTTAAAGTTTTTTTTCCACAAATATTATACTTTTTAAATGTATTTATATTAAGTGTGTCTAAAAATTAAAAAATTGCTTAAAATATTACAAAAAATTATTTGAAAACAAAAATATGTATATTTATGAAAAATAAAAAAGTAGAATTTCTGAAAAATGTTTTCTGGAAACCAAAACCAACCAAGCTGATTAGTTTTTCCTTTTCACATAATTTTTTTTTTAGTTTTTTCAATTTGAAAGTTAATGTTTTAAAGTTTTGAAGATTAAAATAAATGTCAAATCATCATATTCTTTTATAGATAATCATAAATGATAAACAATTATTGTTTGAAGAACAATTCCAACTATTAAAAATTTAATAAGATTTGAAGGTCTAAAAATTCTTAATTAGAACTTAACAGAGTATAAGTTCATAAATTATAACTTGTGTGTAAATATCCCAAAAAATAAATAAATTCATTGGAAAAAACTACGGCCACTATAATGCCTAAAAAGAGTCAAGCCCAATGTTAAAGATCACAATCGAATTCATCGATTCCCAAGTTTTGAATTTAAAATATGAACAATCAAAGGCGTGAAAGTAAACCAACTCAACTTGAATATTTCTTTTGTACAAAGAAAGATGTTAACGAATTAATATGATAAATTAGCACAACCTAATGTTTGATGCTTTTTCATAAATTTGAATCTCA